GGTGGCTAATAATGCCCCCACGCGGCATAACAAATTGGTAACAATAAATTCCTCCGCCCTCCGAGACGTTAGTTCGGTAGGCAACCCCGTAGAAATTCCAATTAATTACATTAGCGAGCGTTAATTGTTTCCTTATGTCACTTGGTACCCAACTAACGCCTAACCGCGGCGACTGGCGACGCAAAGTTGTCAAGTACCCCGTGAGGCCGGCGCACGGGATAATTAATGACAATTAAAAACTAATTGCCCCGTCTGACCTCGGCGCACTAAACACGAACAGCCCCCGAGTAAATGACCTTAGTTACAACTATTTCAAGCCCCACCTTTTTCTCGTTATCCGCGACCTACTCCTTACACTCGACTGACCCTTCATTTACTCGTGAACCATGCATCTTCGTGGCACGACTTTTGCTTCGTTCGGTAAGACTCTTTTTTTTTTCTTTTTTTTTTTTTTTTTTCGAATTTACCGCCTTTCCCATAATCGTACACCCTAACTGCGTACGCGTACGAATTTTCACGAGCCCCGCTACGTTCGTTAAGGCCACCAACGCACGGGCACGCGCGTCGAAGCCCTGTGGAACTTGTTAACGAGACATTCGCCCGGGCTCATTTAACGACGCAGTTCGTCAAACTTCTGTCTGGTAAAAAAAACTCGTAGAATCGGTTGCGAGTTACTTTGTTTTTTTTTTATGAAAGACTTCTGACATGGTGCGATGAAATAAAATTTTCCAAAATATCAGCGTGCATGTAATTTCAATCGTAGAATGCGATTGCAAAAAATTATTTATTTTCATACGATTACATTTTTTTGGACTTAATCGTACTTTACAAAATTTTTTTTATTTTACATCCCGTAGTACATATATATATGTGACAGTGTAATGAATACTGACCTAACGCAACACGGCATTCAATTGCTTGTAAGGGAAGCTGTATTTTTTTATTTCCCTTATTTTTTTTTCTCATTCCTCCCTTACCTCGTTCAGTCCCGCAGGAATGTTCCCGCGTTTTCACCTTCAAGGCTTATCATCGTCCCCGATAAAAGCAGGGTTTGTAATCGGAGGTCCTACCTCCTCACTTTCCCTGGCTACTGTGCCCCTTCCCTGGGGTCTCCAGTTCTCGGCTGGTTTAAACAACGTCGAAGCCACCTGTAGGGAATTTATAAACATTGAGTAAGTCCGATTATGAATTGTCAGCTCGTACGGTCTCATTACAATCATTGATAGGGCGCGACGTATCAGATTGTACACACGTAACGAAATATACTGCGCACGTGGTTACCGTAACATCGGGCCGAACTGTCAAACGACAGTCGCTTATTTCCCACGGGAAAATTATTTCGTGAATGTCAAAAGTAAATAAATATACATATGTTCAATTGTAAACTCCATGCGTGGCTCCGTTCGCAGTGCCAAGATCGTTGATTATTCAAAAATCAATATAGCTATACTTCCGGTTACTCTACGCCATTACATTTATAAAGCTCTGACTTCGTTCCGACGATCCGTCAACGGGCAAAGGCACTGCTCGACCGAACCCATGCTCGAATGCCCAACATCTCGCGAACGATCTCGTACGTAGAAAGAAAAGGGAAAAAAGGAGAAAAACAAGGCCTACACGTCCTAATGGCCAATTACCGTTTATCAAACGGAACGGCCGTTACGCTACGACGGAGCAAAGCGCCGAACGAGCAATTCGTAAAAATGACACGGCGTTCGTTACTCTCCTATCAGTCGTTCGACTTAATGACGCATCCTGTCAACGTAACGAAAAGTGTTACGGCATCCCGTGAGTATATCGTCTCGTATTACGAGAAAACAAGATGATTTAAACTCTATGTTACTCGAGCCAAAAGCACTCGGCAAGTACATAGAATACGTGAAACGCGATGACGTCACGTTCGCGATCCCAGCGGAAAGCTTCTCAACCCGTGACATGAATTGATCGTTGGCCAAAAGAATTTTATAGAAACCATATAGTGACCAATGTATATGTATTGACATGTATATGTATATGTGTGACTGTAGTATACCTATATGGTATTGATCGTACATTTTCCTTTTTTTCTTTTCAGCTACGATCGCGTATCGTAGAAAAGTAGGATCGGGCTATTGAATTTTAAAAATTTTCAAAATTCATACTTCCACCGGAACTACTTACCGGCTGTTTCCATAAACGGTAGAAAAAGAATATAGGAAGCGGTGCCAGCGTAGACAATCCAATTAGCCAACCAATTACGTCCGCCCACCATGGGAAGACCATTCCGTTGTAACTTGCCAGCTCGTAGGTGTACATTTGGAATACGAAGACTGCCTGTGGGTTGAGATTCGTTATAGACGTGGAAGGTGTGATATTCGAGGAGCCAGAAGGGAATCGGGTGAAGTTAGGACGGAGGGGTGGAAGAAAACAGGGGTGGGGTAAAGGTGACGGGGGGGGGTTAGGGGGTGCGAACGAAATCTTTCAAGCTTGAAAATAACAGAAGAGGCTCGTCAGCTATGCCCGACTATGCCTTAGGGGGGACGCCGATGACAATGTTCACATATGTGTATATAGGCATATGCAGGGGTATTCGGAAGTATCGCGTCAGCCGAAGGTGGATTTCCTATAGAAATCAAGCGAATGTGCTATCGTCGGTCGGTGCAATATTTCTGAATAATTTTCTATGCTATTTACCGTTATGTAGTATATAAACGGTATATAGCCGAATGCGAAGAAGTAAATGGTTACGGTACCGAGGTGGGAACACAATTTGTTTAAGGAATTACGTGCCATTAGTAAATGAGAAGGGAAGACGGTGGGCCGTAAATAAAAAAGGAAAACATTCTAATAGCCGTGCGCTACCGGGAAACAGGACGAGCCTTCTCGTTAGCGCGAACGTACTCACGTAACTGTACGTATCTGTACGAGAGTCGTAGTTACGCGTGTCGTGTAAGAGACGCCAGGGATGCATAGGACGAATAAATCTATAAGGGAAAAAGTGTTTAGAGCGAAATGAAAAGGTCATGATTTGGAAGTACGCTGGCGTCTGGTAACAGACAGAATAGCTGGAGTACCGTAAGACGCTTATTCAGTACCGGCAAGTGTTTCAGTAAAATATCGACAAGCAGCCGTTTCTTTTCAGGATTGCGTAACGTTATTCCACGCTTGAATTAATTATCTCGATAGCCATTATCGTAATCGGAAATTTTTTTGAAAATTTTCGTATCGGTACCTCTTGTCTAATTTTTCGATTTCGTCCCACCGTTCGATTCGTCCTGACCAAGTGACCGCGGACCTGGTGCATGTTTTTTAGAAAATTTTTTTTTGAAAAAAATCATACGCCAAATTTGCACTACTCACAGCTGCTGTAACCGGTGCTAATATCACCCAGCATAACCACCAGTAGCCGCGAAGAATTCGTCCAAACTTCATTGTCATGTCGGCTATGTTATCCAAGAATCTGTTGCAGCCGTAGCACCATGAGGCTAACACGACTTCCGCCATGCCAATCAATAGTATGGCCCATGATGCAGTGTTCCAGTCCATCAATGTAAATAGGTAAACGCCACCATCGAATACCATAGGTATGCCCAGAACGCAACAGGAAACGCATATTGCTAATATAACGAGGGACTCGTGTTTCCGTAGGTCAGGACGTACGTCCAGTATGGCAGTGTTTATGGCCTGGACTCCGGCGAACTGCGATGAGAAAGTAAAATTTAATTATTTTCCAAGAATGATTTTTTTTTTACATTTAAATTCCGAATATCAAACAAACGATCAAAGGCTCGATACGGAAGCAGCGAGATATACCGGGGAACAAGGTAAAAACAAAAAGAAGAATTTGATATGGGAATGAAGAAGGGTGTGAACGCTAAGGGTTGAAAGGGGGATGACAATAATTCTTTTGATTATATAAGACAAAGCAGAGATTCTCAGGACGTAAAAGGCATTGCTTGCCATGTCTTGCACGTGAGGGAGAAGTTTAATGGCGGTCTGGCCGCTACCGTCTTTTTCCACTTTTTCCCCTTTTCTCTAGTTTCCACCGGCAAGATTTCTAGGAGATAATTAAAATTGTTACGCTCAATAAACCGTGCAGCCGAGCGTCCTCCGATCGCCACCGTAGGCTATAATTATTCCGAAGTCTCTACGGATAGTAATAGTCGGTAGTAATAGTAACGGCGTCTCTGTGCCAGCAGCAGCACCGACGGTAATACCAAGAATCGTGCTGGTACTAATACCCGGTGTCTTTGCGGTAGTGGACTTATCGTTAGAAGCGAAAGTTAATTTTACGTTTGAATAGCTCCGGAGGCTCGCAGTCCTCGCATTTCCAAATACGAGGATGTAGCGCGGGTCACCGACCGAGACCACTTACTGACCTGGCTACCCAGTCCCAGAATGAAGAGCATGAAGAAGAAGAGCACCGCCCAGAGATTCGGAAGTGGCATCCTCACCACGGCTTCGGGATAGGCGATGAAAGCCAATCCCGTGCCGCTCTGAACTACCTCATCGATTGGCATGTTCATCTTCAGCGCGAGGAATCCCATGATGGAGAATATTACGAATCCGGCGAAGACCGAGGTGAAAAGATTAGTGAGCGTGACAAATATTGCGTCCCTGAGAAAATTAAAAGAGGGACATATAGAAAATATATATTTAATATTTATATACAGATATACGTGGTAGGTGTAACGAGCGAAGCGCGCACGCTCTTATATACCGCGTATGTAGTAACTTTTTTTTTTACTTTATTATTCGATTTATCGATCGCCACCAGAGATACCGGTGGCAGTGTCACGTTTCTGTGAATACAATGTAAAAACCGAAATTTCGATACTAGCCGACTAGTACGGGAAAATAGTAAAATATCGAACAAACAAATGGCGGCTTCAGTTGTCATACTTTAGTTTATGCCGAGTGCAAAGGGTATATATATATATATATATATATATATATCAAGCCTAAAAATATTTCATAAATATTTTAGCAGCACATTACAACCAGCACTCTCTTATTTAACGCAATCGATCCTTAATCAGCGTACGAAGTCACCGACCGACCTCGAAACACGTCACGAATCTATTTACCGTGAAAATGCATTCGCCATCAAACCGAAACGTTTGATTCCCCGCATTACGAGAGTTAGCCGAGGTCGAGTGTACGTGCGATGGATATTTCATGGGAAGCGCGAGGAGCAGTCCATCATTTCCGAAAATCAGACAATCTGGCAAATTCGAGGCGCCACGTCGCGTCCAGGTTAACCCGTACAGAGCTAAGTTACACGCCGGACAAAGCCGTGACAAAGCCCTGCCGGTAATCGTACCACGAACTAAACGTATTTCTCACCTGTGACAATTGTTCGTGAAGGAGCTATAGCTAGACAAAGTGACCAGGGATCCGCAGCCGATGCCAAGAGAATAAAATATTTGTGAGGCAGCGTCGCCCCAGACATTGGCACTCAAGAGGGTTGACCATACAGGGGTAATTAGCCAAATGGCACCATCCTTGGCTCCGTCTAGGGTGACACCTGAAAAAAGAAAATTTTTCAAAAATCATCACAGCCCCGTACAGCACGGAAATACTAGACGAGTAGTCCTCGAGTCAAATTCTGAATTCCCCACGTTACCTCCCTATAGTTTCAACCCCATTAGAACCGATAGGATTTATAGGGTCTCCGGGACCCACCTACCGGCATCACGTAACCATGTGTGTATAACATCAATATTACTAGTGACTCACCCCGTATTAGAAGTGCGATTAGTACCACGTACGGAAAGAGCGCAGTGAAGTAGACGACCTTCCCGACGCTCTGGACCCCTCTTATCACACACAGATAACAGATTATCCAAGCCAGAACAAGACAGCCTAGTAACTCCCACCTAATGCCGCCAAAGTTGTACCACGTGGCGCCGCGTATACCCAGGACGTAGTCACTGCGAATATATATTGTAACGTTAAAAGTTACTTTGATACCGTCCGTGCCTTCTTAAAAATATGGTCCTTGCACACTAGACGGGGAATTGGTACCCCAAGCCGCGGTTGTAGGATCTGTGAGGTTTTTAATCTCTTAAGTAGGAAGGGCATTGGTACCCTTGCTATTCGATTATACGATAGGACTAGTCACGGAATTGATAACGTGAGGTGCCTGCAAAGATACTTGGATGCTGGAATAAAAATTTTTTTCCAAAAATGTATGAATCAAGAGTGGTAGTTTTCATACTTTCTAAGTTACTTGTGGAAAAAAAAAAATAAGTTATTGGTCCAGCATGTGTGATTCACTTGCGGGCCCATCTGTCGGAGGCTGTGGGTACGTGGTCCAAGGGCTGCTGGATGGGCGGGGGCAGCCATTCAGTAGCGTTAGAGTATACATATATATAATCTATTACAAAGCAAGATACAAGGTCGGTACACCGTAAGAAAGTATATACCTGAAATATTCCTCCGAAGAAAGTATACGGGTATATATATATCGTATGGCCGTTGCATTGTTACCCTGAAAACAGTGCGTGCTGTTACCTCCGTCAGCGTAGCCGTAGCTTTCGCAAACTGCGGTAATGGCCGTGCAGGTTTTATTGTAAAATATGGTAGTGGAGTCGTTGGCCTGGCAATCCTTATCTTGAAGCCCGCTGTAACAGTCTACGAGGACAATCTCAGGTCAGAATGGTACAAGTTGGAAGCTGGATGCTTTGGGTCACCGAGAGACGTAAAGATAATAAACGTACATGTGGCTGAACGATGCAACTATGCGCTTGGATATCTAAGATCCAACGGGAGAAGAAGGCGTAGTATATTTTAGACTTGAATTTCTTGGCGAAGTGTTATGGTAGGTAATGGACGAGAATGAGATGAGGATATTTGAAACGTTATCTTGATAATTGATGATTATCGTTAAATTTCATGGGGTAGAAAGATGAAATTTTGAATACAGGATACCAACGTAAGAAATTAATTTCCTTTTGGGTTAGGTGGGTGGATTGTATATTTAGCATGTGTTACGTGCGAGTATACTGACCATTGCTGTTGAAGTCATTGTCACAGTAGGCCCAGCCCAGCTTGGATGAGAACGATGCGAAGGTATAAAAGAGGGTCCAGGATACGAGGACCATGTAGTAGATGGTTATTAAGGTAATGACCACTACCGTGCAGTAACCAAGACCGTGGAATGCTGGTGCCATTCTGGCGAACGCCTCGTTCGGTCCCAGGCCGGTGTACTGGCCTATGGCCAGCTCGAAAAAGAATATCGGCAGACCCAGCGTAATTAACATTAAAGTGAAGGGTATCAGGAAGGCTCCTGAAAAATCGAAGGTTCGTTATCAGGGACGGGAATTGAATCTCTTCTGGACCCGAGGGACATCTATAGAACGATAATACCGAGTGTTCGTTTAAATTTTATATAACGTGGATTAATATTTTATTCGATGATATTTTTTTAGACTTTTTTTTTCTTTTTTTTTTTTTCGTCCATGGCCCAAGAGATCTTCATCCGATTTCGGGGTCCTTAAGGACGCTTTCAAAACCGCAGTATCAACTGACTGCTTAAGAGGATATTCGACATTGGCGTAAGAAAAAAAATATACTATGTAGTATCGCGTTTCACAAGCTATGGGAAATCAAGTGTCGTGAAATGAAAGAAAGGAGAAAAAAAGAAGACAAAGATATCCTATTTCCCGTTCGATATTTTAGGAATAAACTTTTATCCACTGGTATACGTACCTCCGCCATTGCGATACACGAGGTATGGAAAACGCCAAATATTTCCAATCCCAACGGCGTAGCCGATGCAGGATAAAACGAACTCCACGGGATGGTCCCAGCCGATCCGCTCAGCTGGCAGCTCCACCAGGACGCCTCCGACCCCGAGGGAGACCCTCTTCGTCTGTTAATAATCGAACACAGGGTGTATAAGTTTCGCATGGAACAATCGCAAAGTCTAAAGGAACCAAGATCAAGTGGCGAAGTCGACGTGACAGGGATGCTGCGCTTGGTCCCCCATTCTGGAGAATCTTCCATGAACCTCCCAGCATCCGGCTGTCATCTCTCTCTGTACTACGATATTCGACGCTATTACATCATGAGCTTCCGGATTCATGATCCACCCACTTCCCACCTCCCAATCCCCTTATCCACTCTCTTTTTATCCACTCGAGATACACTCCTGGCCAAGTATCCGTGCAGTAACTAAGAGCCATGGATTAGGAGGAAAATCGATAATTTATCTCATCTTTCAAGATCTCTAATCGAACCGTTATAGTCCACGAGCTTATCTATCGAGATAAATAACGAACGATCTCAATATACGTATAAACTGACGTAAGGCACGCTTAAGTGATTTCACGTAAAACGATACGAGTTATCGTAAATCTGATTCAGCGAATTGTCAAAATATTTGATTACGGATTCAATCAGTCCGTCACGTGTCCGTGATCGAATTGTCGATATCAGCACAGTTCGATAGGAAATCGCGAAAACCTTCACCTTGGCCAGGGGACATCCGCGTGTCGTTTATTTTATTATTTCTTTCATTATAAACAGTGATCCAGCGACTTGCAAAGTACAGGAAAAAATGATCTATCGAACGGACAGCGTAATACGCGAAATCAAAGTGTCTACCGATGTACATTTGCATTAAAATGAAACTTAAGCCGTCAGGTACGATGCAACGTGGGGTCGATTTGTATAAGCGGATTCGTAAAAAAAAAAAAAAGACTCCGCTGTATAACTGTAGCGTCCTTAAATTGTTTTACTCGAAAAAAAAAAAAAAAAAAAAAAAA